GCGTCGAACTTGTAGGCCGGGGTTTTCACACCGGCCGCGCGGGCGTGCCCGGCCCATGGCCGCCGCCTCCTCGCGCATCCTGATGTAAATCGGCTTCAGGTCTTCGTAAGGGGCAGAAGAGCCCGGGGTGAGGGAACCGGGGTCGTTCGCCTGAAGAAGCTCCAGCGCTCTCTGCCTTAACGCAGCCACGGCCGGCAGATCAAGCACGTTCGGAACTTCGTCCGTTTTCGCTCCTCCCTCCCCCTTAACGCCACCGTTTTCGGTTTTGACTCCGCCGTTTACTGACAAAAGCTCGGGGTTACCCAAACCCTTAAACCACTCGGCCATGATCGTACCGGCCAGCTGGCGGCTCGTCGCCCGCGGACTCTGAAGTAACTCCGTCACGTGCCCACAGAACGCCCCAGTCTCCTCTTCTCGAAGCGCTAGCGCCAGCCTCGCAAGAGCCCAGCCTCCCTGCGCGCGCATCTCTACCGCCGATGGGCTGCCCTCCGCCCCAACCAACGGCCCAGATCGCTCGACGGCCCCCGTCTGCTTCCCACCCCCTCCCCGGTCCTTCTCCTCTAACCTCCCCCCCGAAAGGAGCAAACTCACCTCACCCGAGGGGGTCGCCGCCATGGCAAACCAGCCCCCCAGGAACGGTGCGCTTCCTTCCGCCCCCACGCTGTGAAGCAGAGTCTCCCAAACCCTTCGCGAACAAACGACGATCGACTCGTTCACTTCAAGTAGAAGATTCTGGAAGGTCAGCCGCAGTGCGTCTGAAAGGACGGCCGCACCCAAGGGGGGGTGCTTCCGCCAGCCAATCCGACCCCCTCGTGCGTGTTAAGGAGCCGTTCAAGCGTCGTGATGGCGGCTGATCGGACGGTGATTGTGTGCCGCATGAAGGGCCAGAGGCGAGAAACGAGGACTTCCACTTTGGGGAGATGGGCGGTATCAGGGTCGGGCTCTTCTTTCTTGACGGCGGAGCGTGCACCTGTCAAATAGCGAGGGTACATTCTATAGGCAAAAGTCTTGATGTCCACCTTTACTTGGGGCGACGATGTAGCGAAAGATTGTGAGTGACGGCTTCGCTAAAAACGAAGCCCACAAAGTGCCCTTTGGGGCCCGTCCATCGAAGGAATCAGCAGCTTGAATACTAGCAGCGGGCATGCGTGCCTTAAGCCCACTTGAATCTTGACTCAAAGTTCAGGCCCGAATCGATCTTCCCAAAGCCGCAAAAAATACAAAGCTGTGCCACTAGCTCTCAGAACACGGTGTTACTGTGAGTGAAGCAGCGCATGATGACTGGATTCCGTTGTGCTTGCCACCTTTATTCGGCCACTTACGCAACCCAACAAACATATACATTTGTCCGTAGTACCGGCTCCTTCCTTTCCGTACGTATTCAACGACGCCTTCAGACCGGACAAGGCGCAAATGTAGACGGTCGTAAAGCGAACACTCTCAGTGCAAAGTTGCGAAGCACGCACGCGTCACCGTTCCTACCCCTCCCAATCTTTGCCAAAAGCTCCGGCCAAGTTTCCCTCGAAGCCATGCAACCCAGGTTTACAATAGCCTCCAACTTATAACCTCCGACCTTTGCTACAAAAACGGCCAACGACTGAGGCATGCTCCCCGAGAACCATGCGAGGCCAAGCCCATAAAAGCGTTCAAAAACCTTCGTCCCCTCACCTGCGGCGGCCACCCCCGGCTGCGCGTACAGCTCCGCCAGCAGCCGCATCACGCTCCCGATCGACGGGCTCAGGTCGTCCAGGTTCAGCAGCGCA